TCCTACGTACTTTCGGTACGTGTGATAAATTAAAAGTATAGTCAAGCGCTAAATGATCTGAATAATGAGTATCCAAAACATTAACGCTATTTTCTGAGTCTACGTAGTTTATGAAGATGTTGTCTAGACAACTTGAGTTTCTTGTATTTTGACTAACTATTGGCATGAAACCATAACAACTAAATAAGTTTACAAGCTCATGAGCTTGGTGTTGTAACCTATTAAATCTAACATTAAAATCTCCTATTATCACAATTTACTTGCGGTAATCGGGTCCATCCAATAACCGACAAAGTTTCATAATAAAGTATTCAAAATTACCATCAGGAGATCGATACAGTGAGATTAACTGAAGATCATTCACATTTAATCCGGCCGCCTCAAAGTGTAGTTCTTCTGACAGATTGAGAAGGTTATCTGATAGAGGTACGGCATTAACATGATTTGCTATATAAATAGCCACACCACCACGAATTTTCACATCCCTACAGAAACTAGATACAGATCTAAAACCAGAGATATGCTAATAGGATAACTCATCTTTTCTTAACCAGTGTTCATTTATAGAGAGCATTGTATATTTATTCTTTTCACACAGTGATTCGATGATTCCTGACTTTCAGCGAACACCTTGGATATTTAGATGTAATAGTCTAAAGAGCACGTTACTGTTTTTTACTGTTTTGACAGATCGTGGTTCAGGTATTGTATTATTCTGTTGTTTATCTTCCCTAATGGATGCTTTACTTAAGAAAAAACTGTTTTTCAGACTTGTCGGGGATGTTGATTTGTTCAGTTTTCAAAGGCAATACATTTTTTAATTGTTCAAAAATAATATCCTTTACATGCTGGATGATTGTCATTTTTGATGCCGTGACTCTGATGTCATAGAATAGGCTCAAAGAATAGTTTCTATTTAGTTTCCTGAGTCTATCCAATTAATTATATTTCTAAGATGATAGTCGACAGATGTGGTCAATTCGCATAAAAAATAAGATTGGTTACTCGACCGAGAGGTAAGAGGCAATGTAAACCTTTGTTTAAGGATGGGGTGTTACTTATATTGTTAGAGTTTATCATGAAGATTACAAAATCGTTCTCACCAAGAGATTTTGTGATGTTAAATACGTTTTTTGTGATATCTACAAACTCTAAATGGGGATAAACGTGAGCTTTTATGGAGAACTTTGTCATGTCGATGTATAATTCTAACACTTTTCCCTAAACTTTTTGCATAATCGTCAGCAATTATAATGATTTTCCGACAGCTGTCTGAGGCGTTACGTTTCGGTGATCCACCTGATGGTACCATATCGATTATTGGGGCATCATCGAAATCTATTGGAGTTTGGCTTGCAGATTCTGCTGCTACTTCGCCGTCTAACTGGGGTATAGGGGACACGATAGATGCACACTGGGCAAAAGTCGACGCTGTGCAAAAGTCGACGCTGTTACATTTTACATCACTTTTTGGCAGGTTTCGGGAGGAATATTTTCAATCGCTTCGGCAATATTGTTCTTCAGCTGCTCTACAGTATGGTGGTTGGCATAAGCCCTATTTTTCAAAAATCCCCATAAAACAAGTCAGGAGCCGTTAGATCCGGTAACCTTGGTGGCCCAGTTGATATCTCCGAATCGAGAAATTAAACGTCCCGTCGCAAAAGATTCATTGCTTCCCTAGCTTTGTGACAAGTTGCTCCGTTCTGCTGGAACCATATCCTTGAGGTTAAATTTTTGGATTCGAGGAGCCAGAAAGTTTTGCAGCATATCACGCCCAACTAGCAAAGTAGTGGTATAAGCTTTTGGTAAAAGAACCGTTCAGCCATAAAAGCTCTCTATTAATGTTGCCTGAACACCAAAATGCTGGCTTAATGTTGTGTGGAATGCAAATTTGCTTTCTGCAACATATTTGCTCTAAAATGAGGTGTTTAAAATATTCTTGTAGCATAGTTATGCAACACCTTATAGGGCAAATTTTTAACTGTTGCATAAACGTTTATACAACTATTTTATACGGCATATTTGCAAGTTAGTCAAAATGGTTGTGTTGTGGCACCTATGCTAACGTTTATAAAACAAACCCGAGCAAACGGAAGCACTTATACAACTGTTACATATGCTAAATATGTTGGTAAACAACTTCACCATAACCTAACTTTCTGCTGTCATATTTTTGTTAAAATGTCATAACCAATGTTTTAAGACAAACAACGCATGCATACCGGTTCAAAAAGGTTTTATCAACTGTTCAAACAGAAGATATAGATCTGGTACAAATTCTGGGTAAATCATTCGACTCTGTCGGTATTTCATTTCAGACATTTGTCAAATTGTTGTATAACACCTGCAGGCAACACCAAAATATTCTAATAACCTAAAGACAACATGGACGATGCCATGATTGTACACAACCAACCGTCATATTGGGCAAACATTTATTCCTCTATTTGATATTAAAAAATTATGTTTCAGTTCGAAATTACAGATATATAGTGATAAACATTAGTGCAATTGTGTCTAAATATAGGATTTGTGGAAGATTTAACGCAGATAAGTTCAGTTTTCCATCTTAAAAATCTAGACATACTTTTGATCATTGTCAAAATATGAATCAAATACGAAGCCCGTAGAAATTGGGTAACTAATTTGCACGATAATCACAATAAAATTTGCTGCGCAAGTAATTCAATAGCTCTATATCAAATTGTAGAAGTTTATCATATACCTGTGCATGAAATTCACAATGGCCGATATGTAAGTAAACAAGATGACTGTAATGTGTTAGTTATATATTCTTCACTTCGTCTATACAATACATAGGAAATAGTTTGGTTGCAATAAAGTAGAATCACGTAAGAGAATAGTTGTATAGTTGACAAAGACTGAATCTTGCACTGACGCAAATGTCCTATAGCGGCTGCAAGAGGCTTACACTTTTGTTTTATAACTGTTACCTGCAGCCCTTATACAATCTCTTAAATGACTGAAGTGTCCTATTAGGTGTGCCCATTCCGCTTGTATAGCTGTTCTAAGAGAGGGTTTTGCTAATGTTCTTACAGTATGCTGTTTAAGGAATACTGTATAATCATTCTTGCAACTCTAATAGGAGTGATAATTGTTAGTTGGGCGGTAGTGCTCGCCAGTGACAGTAAGAGAATTACCTGCAACGTCTTCAAAGAAGTAAGGTTCCCTAATGCCCAGATACGAAAATTCTGCTTATTAACAAATCCGTTCATATTGTGACGAATCATACTGTCGGCGCCATCTGTTGGGCGAGTCTCCTACTCGCTAGAGCTTCATGGCCGATCTCGGCTTTCACGCGAATCACGACCGCACCAGCCACCTGGCGGCGGATCGCCATCTAGATCGACGCGAAGCAACCTCGACTATTCGGGAAGGCCGCTATGTGGCTCTCGATTCTTCTATACTCAACGATGCGGACTATATAACTCGGCGGCCGGGAGATGGAAGGGAGTACTGAATACGGTAGAGTAGCAGAGCGGAGTGAAGTATAGTAGAGTAAATGGTGACATAAGAATTAGTCAGACATAAATAGTGGCGCATATGAATGTTTTATCAAGTCAAATAAATTAGTGCATTTCTTTTTGTGGAATCCATTGTTTTAATCCACACCCAAAAGAACCCATAAAAACGCTACAATATCGAAGTGGGCTTCATCGCTCATTAGCAGATGTCGGTAAAAATCGTTATTTTGGGTATTAAGCTGCAGTATTGCATGACTATATTGTCGGCGACTTTCATGGTCACTAGGCTGTCGTTCTGGGGTCAACTGAATGCAAGTCCTTTTTTTAAAATAGTGCATAATGACGTGCGACGAATACCCAGTTCTTGAGAACCATGTCTGGTAGACGTCACAGGGCGATCCGCTACTCTTTCACGGACTCTCTCGATATTTACCTTCAACTTCACCGTTCACATTATTCCGACCGAAATCTTGTCGTAGCTTCCGAATCGTTGCAACAATCGACTCATTATTTGAGTAAAACGTTTTAACAATACGGACGCGTTGTGGGATCGTGTAGCGCTCCATGATGAATTGGACACATGTGCTTAAAACAACTACTACGGCGCCACCTACTGAAATGCGCGTATCAAGAATGGCGCGCAATTTAAATCAGTCAGTTATATATTGGCCACTCTGTATAAAGAAGCTAATTATTATTTTTTATGGTTATACTGGAAAGGTCGAATGATTTTTCTGATTCTATTGATTTAGAGCCGTTTTACACACAAGAGAATTACTCCGAAAATTATAGTCATAATTATGCCGAAAATTTTTGCTGTCGTATTACACGTAAAATAACTCTTATGAAAATTTTCATGGTAAAAATATAAAACCAGTTCTATAGAATATGCGCGAGAATCGGCGCAGAGGGATATTTCCGTGCATGTCATTATCAAATGTCAACATCAACAACATAACCTCACTTAACATTTCTTGGTATGGTCCTGTTCATGTCGTGCGAAGAAGCGTTCATTGTTATGGTTTATTCATAATGTCGTGGAATCGGGAAGAAGTTACACTGTTGTTGCAGTACCAAAAATGGCCAAACCTGTACAAGGTGAAGTCACCAAATTACAAAAACAGAAATCTGCGACGTCTGTTGTCTTTCCGATTCTATTGGACGTCATACCCGTTAAGGTTATGTCCATTCGAAAATATTACTCTAATGCGCAGGCGTATCATATGAATTACTCGGAAATTTTGTTTGCTTGTGTCATACAGGTTGTAGAGGAAATCTTCAATATTTTTTCCATGCAAATTTTCGGCATAATTATGACCATAATTTTCCGAGTAATTCTCTTGTGTGTAAAACGGCTCTTTTACAGTATATTTTTTGTAATGCCACTTCTAGGTGAACATGTAAATAGTGAGACAATAATTCAGAATGACAAAGATACAGGTGTAACCAGAACCAATACCTGTGAAAACGATAGAAAGCCTCCATTCTCCGAAGCTCAGAAACTCAAAAAAGTTCAAATCGTTTCGCCAAAACTAAATCCCAAAAAGACCACGAGGAACTTAGAAACAAAAATATCTGTTAAGGCTGAAACGTCGAATGCTATACAAACATCTAGATCTCTCGAGAGTCTTACAGTAATCAAGTCACCCCTGGAAGGATCTAAGCATTTCTCAATCTCAAAAACATTTAGTTTTTCGAATCTTTCTGCTAATATACACAGAGAGTTTAACTTTGATGTAAAAATGGGTGATAGAAGCCAAAACGCACAACCACAAGAAAACGCCATAGAAACGTCTATTGATGAGGAACCAGAGGAAGTAAGTAGAGTGAATTAGTAAACAGGGTATCCTAAAATATAATGTGTGCAGGGTGTCACAGAATATTGATTTGAATCTCTTGGTCAGATGTTTAATTCTCAGTTACGAGCATACGAATATAGAAAATCCATTTTGAAACATGGTTTTGGTAGGCTAGAAGTTTTTGAGTTTGAAGATCTATTAGTTTTCGTTAAAAATTTGCTTCATAATTACTCTGGTAATCAACTTTATCTGTTTAACTAAACGATTCAAATAACCAGTGTTGTTTAAAGATTTCAAAAATGTTTCAATGAATCGGGTGTTTTGTGAGTATTTCTATAAATGTGTAGCTGTTTTTGAAGTGCGATTCCAAACAAAATCGTTTTTTTATCACCCATCACTCTAATTTTGTCATTCTACATAGTGACAGCAAGACAGATGGTAACGCCACATTTATTAATTCGTGAACGTTCTTCAATTCGTCATTGTCCGTCAGAGCGGTCCGTGGGACCTTCGCTCTTTGTTAAAGTATCGTAGGTCAGTAGGTCTGTCAGGTCTGGTTGCCCAGATACCAGACGAAGTCAGGGAGAAAAAGGGAAGAAAGAAAGGAAGGAAGGGGGAAGCAGCTTCTGTGGTGATCAATATGGCGGGAGGTGTCTCGTTGAAGATCACATCGGTGTATGTCAGGTGTGGTGCCAGGCTACAAGAGGCGGACCTGGAGGTTCTTTTGGACTATTCGGGTCCGCTTATTGTGGCAGGGGACTTCAACTGCAAACATCGAGCATGGAATTCTAGGTTGAATTCCACTAGTGGGATTCGATTGTACAACCATGTGATGCGAAATGGGTACCTTATACATAGCACTGAAGAGCCGACACATCATCCATTCAACCATCTTCAGGCACCAGATGTCATCGATTTCGCGATATCTAAAAACTGTACATACAGTATCTCTTCTCGAATCTTGTATGATATCTCTAGTGACCATCTACCTGTTGTCTTGGATGTGGACAATGAGCAAACTTCTGAGGAGGCAGCTCCTCTAAGGAAACGCATTGATTGGGACCTATACAAGTTGCTCCTTAGAGAGTTTCCCAATATCCCGATTATAGATGATGAGTCTGGAATAGATGCCGCTCAAGCGGAGTGGACAAGTTTCATTCAAGCAGCTCTACAGCTTTCAGCTGTATTTCCTGTACAACGACACGGCAGACCTTTTTTGCCTGCGGACATTCTTCAGAAAATCTCTGACAAAAGAGCCGCTATTAAGCAGGCAAAAAGGTCTTGTCATCCTGTTGACATTCGTAGGGCTACAAATCTTGTCCATGAAGTGAGAAACGCACTGCGCGAACTCCGCAACGAGCAATGGAGCGACTTTCTGGCGGGAATGCTTGATTCAAGTATTCCTCTCTGGAGGGTCGCAAAGTCACTCAGAAACGGAAAGCGAGAACAACTCGCACACATCCACGGTCCTGAAGGCATAGCCTTCAGAACGGAGGATAAGGTCGAGGTTTTCGCTGATGCCATGGAAAAACAGTTCTCTCCCAACTATGATCTCGATAATGACCTCGACGAGGAACAGCACATCGTACGATCCGTCAGGAGATATTTTAGGGCCAACGGCGTCACCGGAGGCACTGAATCCTCTCCAGATGACTCTTCTTCAGAAGACTCGTCTGAGGCTCCACATAGCTCATTAGCGGAACCCTCCGAGTTTCCACATTGCACACCAGCGGGGTTACTAAATCATATTAAAGACCTCAAGGTGGGGAGGATCAAATCACCAACAAGGCGTTGAAGCTGCTCTCGCCGAAAGCCCGGACATACTTGGTGACAATAATCAATGCGACGCTCAAAATCCAGTACTTCCCTGCTGGGTGGAAGACTGCTGAGGTCATCATGATTCCAAAGAAGGTGGGTTCAATATTTCCTCAGGATTACCGTCTCATAAGTCTGCTGTCAGCTCCTTCTAAGCTTGCCGAAAAGGTGATTTATCGTCACCTTGACAATTTTTCGTCAAATCACCATGTGATTCCTGACGTCCAATTCGGTTTTCGGTCTGAGCATAGCACCGAGCTACAGGCAGTCAGGCTGGTGGAGCATGTAACCAGAGGGTTCACCCTTAGCATGAGTACTGGCATCTTGTTTTTGGATGTCTCAAAATCCTTTGACAAGGTGTGGCACGCGGGCCTCCTCTATAAACTAATCCAAAAGGGTTTTCCTTTTTAGCTTCTAAAATTACTGAAATCCTTTCTTGAAGGAAGGAAGTTTCGGATCAAAATTAACAATGTTTTGTCAACAACACGGCCAGTACGGACCGGTGTTCCTCAGGGTTCGGTCCTGGGACCAATTCTTTATTCGCTTTTCATCCATGATGTCCCTTCCCCCAGCAACTGTGAAGTCTACCTCTATGCTGACGACACTGCACTTGTCGCCCAGTCGTGTACTGGTGATCTGGTTCACGATGGGTTGCAGAATGCGGTGGACGAAGTTCTAGAGTGGGCGGAACGGTGGCTGATGAAAATTAATCATTCGAAAACGCAGGCTATTTATTGTACCAAAAAACGTCGCGGCCCCCCAGCAGAGGTTTCTGTAGACGGAAATCGTGTACCATGGACAAATTCTGCCAAGTATCTCGGCGTCACCCTTGATAAAGGCATGACCTGGCAGAAACATACAGCATCCATAAAAACAAAATTTCAAATTGCGTTTCGGCGACTATATCCTTTGTTATGTAGATCCTCCAAATTGAGCTTGATAAACAAAGTTCGACTATATAAAATGATTATTAGACCAGCCATTACTTATGCATGTGCGGCTTGGTGTTTTCTTGCCAAGACACACATGCAAAGTGTTCAAGTACTGTAAAGCAGAACTTTGCGGACAATTTGCAAGGCTCCATGGTATGTCTCAAATGAGACACTACACAGAGATCTTGACATTCCTTACTTGAGGGATTATGTCAAGCTTCAGGCGCAGCGACGTTATAGTCAAGCGGAATCGCACAGCAACCCTCTGTTGCGTGACTCAGTGGACTACACAGTGGAGCACGTTCGTAAACATTCAAGGCCACGGCTCGCACTGTAATCAAAAGTTAGCGTGAATCTTTAGTAAACTCAAAATTACACTCTAACAAAACCGAATCAAAAATTTGTTTAGTTCACCTCAAAATTAATCCGTGTACCAAAAAGCCTAGGTGTTTCCTCTTAAACCAAGCATATCTGTTTTTCTTTGCTCTTCTCCTTTTTTCTTCTCTTCCCCTTTCTCTTTTTCCTTGACTTTGTCTGGTTTCTAGGCAACCAGGACTGACAGATTCGACTAACGTACATCAGACAGTGACTAATGGGCAAAGGTCCGCCCAGACAAATAAATGACGAATAGTTGGAAGGGGGAAGAGCAAAGAGGATGAAGTGCGTCGGTTAAAGGGATGCCTTGCTATTGTTAGCTGGTATTCGGTTAATTTAAATTAATCCAAAAATTTGTGTGTGGCAAAAATCGCAATTTTGGTTGGATATAGAATTGCACGATTTGATTTTGATCACAGTGCGAGCTGCGCCGGTCTTGTGTGCTTGCGAACTTGCTCGACTGTGTAGTCTACTAACTCACGCAACAGAGGATTGATGTGCGATTCCGCTTAACTATAACGCGCCTGATGTTTGATGTAGTCCCTTAGGTAGGGGATGTCGAGGTCTCTGTGAAGGGTCTCATACCATGGTGCGTTAGTGATGGTCGCAAGGTTCTGTTCTGCAAAACCTGCAGATTACGCAGATGTGTTTTGGCAAGAAAACACCATGCTGCACATGCGTAAGTGATTGCTGGTCTGATCACCATCTTGTATAGCCGCACTTTGTTAACGAAACTTAATTTTGAGGTTCTACATAGTAAAGGGTAAAGTTGCCGAAACGTAATTTGGAATTTAGTTTTTAACGCTTCAGTGTGATTCTGCCAGGTCATCCCTCTGTCAAGAGTGACACCGAGATACTTAGCAGAATTTCCCCATGATATGCGAGCTCCATTCACTAAAACCTCGGGCGGGGCGCCGCTACGTTTTTTAGTACAATAAGTAGCCTGCGTTTTCGAGTAATTAATCTTGAGTAGCCACCGATCTGCCCGTTCCAATACCTCATCCACCGCACTTTGTAACCTGTCGTGAACCAGATTCCCGGTACGCGACTGGGCCACCAGTGTAGTGTCATCAGCATATAGATAGACTTCACAGTCGCTAGGGCAAGGGACATCATGCGTGAAAAGTGAGTAAAAGATTGGCCCTAGAACCGAACCCTGAGGGACGCCGGTCCTGATGGGCCGTACTGTCGACAAGAAGTTATTAATTTTTATCCCAAATTTCCTACCTTCAAGGAAGGCCCTTGTGCCACACCTTGTCAAATGCTTTTGAGACATCCAGAAGCAAGATGCCAGTACTTTCGTTAAGGGTGAAGCCCCTGGTTACTCGCTCCACAAGCCTAACCGCCTGTAACTCCGTACCGTGCTCAGACCGAAATCCAAATTGCACGTCAGGAATCCCATGGTGATCTGACGAGAAATTCGCGAGCAGACAGTAGACTGATGGGACGATAGTCCTGGGGAAATACCCACATTCTTTGGAATCATTATAACTTCCGCAGTCTTCCATGCCGATGGAAAGTACTGGGTCCTTAGCATGGCATTAATAATAGCCACGCGATAAGTCAAGGACTTCCGTGAAAGCAGTTTCAGCGCCTTATTGGTGATTTGATCCTCCCCAGGCGCTTTACGCAACTTGAGGTCTTTAATATGACCTTGAAGCTCTGCTGGTGTGCAATGCGGGATCTTGGGAGAAGCCGCTGATGTGCTGTGCAACTCTTTAACTGAATAATCTTCCGAAAAAGAATTTTCTGAGGAAGAATTACTAATGAAGGCGGTGCCGGGATCACTGACGCCGTTGGGCCTAAAATATCTCCTGACGGATCTTACAATTTGTTGCTCCTCGTCAAGATGATTATCAAGATCATAGTTGGGAGAGAACTGTCGTTCCATAGCAT